GGGCTATCATGTTGACATACTTGTACAAAAGGCTTTACTTTTTTTTTGTTTATTGACTCATACGTTGTTTCCAAAAGTATTTCATAGTAAAGAAAAACAACACAACCATTATATAGCTTAGCGTAAAAGACAGTGCACTGTAAGCTAAGGCGATTGATTATAGTCGGATCAGATGAATGTTCTCACTGTCAAACCAACTAATTAAAAATATGAACTGGCAATCTGCTATCAACGGACATCATCTAAAAAGCAATGACTCAAAGCAAATACTATATTCGTAATTACCGTTTAATAATGTCCAATGATGATTGAGATTGAAAAACAACTAGTGAGTATACTAGCTTTGAATCCAAATGAATGTAAAAAATAAAAATAAAAATAATGTGAAATGAGCACGTTTTAGTCCCCTTTTAAAGCAGTAATAACTGATGCGTAGACTACTTTCCTTTCATCTTAATGAGAAAAAAAAAATTAGCAGTCAAATAGAAGAACTAGTAGAAAAAGTTTTTCTCTTCCTGCACATGACGAATCTTACCTTTAATTAATGTATCAAGAAAGAACGAGAAAGATACACTGGCCAGTAGTTTTTTCACATTAACGGAACATGTGCAGATAATCAGATACGAGAGTATGTATACAGATAATTTTCGTCTTACATGTAACCATTGTTTGTTGATATTTTCGAATGTATGAAGAGAGAATGGACGATGCATGTATAGGCAGACTATCTTAAAGATGAGAGCCAGAGGTGTGAAGTATTTAAATTTACTAATGAAACAATTCTCTTTACATTTGATAATAATAATGAGAGTAAAAATAGTGATGAATTTCTTTTTTTTCCTAAATACATTCATTTTTGTTTGCTTTCGAAATTTTTTACGATTGATAAGAAATAATAAAACGATAATAAAGAAATCAAGAAAGTAAGAATTTTAATGTGAAGCTGTTAAAATTCAACATTATCAAGCGATTTTCTAAAATGAAATTCATCAGGATGAAATATGATCCCTGCTTTCATAAATAATGTAGAGAATCAATTGGTCAGGTGTGATATTACGATTGAGAAAGATTGAAAGCGAATCATATGATATGTTTTGACAATGACTCAAGCTGCCAATCATTAGATGGCGTTTAACTATGCCTTAGTTGTTCGAATGACTCAAAAAAAGAGAAGAATGTGCATGTGAATGCAACTATTGCTGTGATTTTGGATATTCTTTTCACATACTTACAACTACACCCACACCTTTTTTAGAACAAGAGAGAGTCAGATAGTCTACAGTGTATGCTATCCAGGTTAGATAATTATTATTAAGTGAATCATTCTAAACAACTGCCTTAGGTACTCTCCTCCTCAAAAGATGATCTTGGCCCAGAAAAATTCAAATCGCATAATATTTTCAGGATATGTTGCAGTTGTCATGAAAATGCTATGACAATATTTTCAGCCTATAGCATGATATGTTTGAGAGATATTTAACAAACAAGGGTTAAAAATAGCTCATTTAACGACCCAAAGTTCTCTGTGGACCTTCATTGTATAGACTTAACTTTTTGTTTGTTTGAAAGAGCATGTTAAGACTATGGAGGGCATGACAGAGCACTTTTTTTAATTTTTAATTTTCAAGAGGAGAATAAGGATGAAAATTTCAATGTCTCGAAAAACTTTTAAAAAATGGTGCTCTCATAATAGCAGTACTCTTTCATATACTAGTAACAAAGCTTAATTCAAAAAACGGGCTCTATCATACTCTGCACCTTGACATGTTCTTTCTATCAAAAAATATCTATTGCATTAATCGAGAGAAATCGAAAAAGATTTTCCAATTTTTCTAAATATAGCTTATTTTTCAAGTGAGGCATGACAAAAATCATAAAGAATTTCTGTAAAAAATCCGATATATCAAATAAAAAGCTATATCATTTTTGCAAGAGTAACTTCGAACTATCTTCCCATATACTTATCTCAATTTTCATGCTTGTGACGAAAACTGAATTTTTTTTGAGAAGGAAACCTTAAAGGGTTTTCATCCTTTAGAAATGTTTTGTCAGAATTAGTATAGCAATTATGGAAAAATTCCGTTTACAAATATTCTCAATAATATCAAATAGTCTATGTAATGGAGATTGTTTCTAACAAATAACTACTAAGAAAAAAGGAAAAAACTCATAGCCTTTTCTCAAAATAATATCAAAGTTACCATGGGTGTGTAGGTGTCGAGTGGGAATAAAGTAAAAGTCTACATCCACATACGAACTCTGAATAGAGACAAGCAGTGGAAATAAACTTAAATGATATGAGAAACACCTATTTATGCTGGTGACTTTATGGCAAGATGCAAAACTAGTGAGTAGTGTGAACTAATACATTACATGCTTGTTTATACCAATTAAAATTTCATTACAGTATAGAAAATATGTCAAAAACTTATTTCACGTTTTCACAAAGCTTTGGCTCGACGGACGCATCTTCAATGGTATTCTCTTAAGTTAGAAGATAAAGTTAAGCATTTCTTTTGCGTGAAAGCTGACATTTAGAGCTAGCGACTCTTGTGGCCTTCTTTCCTAAAAAAAGGGTTCTGATAAAAGAAAAAACGCTCCTTTCCTATCAAAACATCGCTATTTTCATAAAGTTTTTCAGATCTATTGAAAAGGATGGGTGTGATTGTGGATGTGGGTCTTCTCTTCACTTAAATACATCCGTACCCACGCACACCCACACATAAGTATTTGATTTAAATGAACAAATTTTGTTTCTTGTGTATACGGAAGGTGAAGAGAGGAGAAAACAATCGTGTTCCTCTTCAATGAGATGCCGCTTATGCGAATACGATGATAAACGACGCCTTATACGACTGTTAACGACTGCTGTAATGCTCGTTCTGGAGCAGCATATAAATAGAGTCGTAAACCAGAAAAATCGGTGTAAATAAGACACTATACGGCGAAAATGCGGTCCTGATACTGCTCATTGTTACTCACCGGAAACGACCTTAAACAGCGCCATTTACATTCCGAGGAAAAAATGGCCCATAATCCGAGCTGACGGAAAATGGTTAAAAGACGGCGATCGTTTTTTATCGTTTACGATGTGGGTGTGGGTAGGTAGATGTACTCTTTGACTACACCCACACTTACACCGCAACTCACATCTACACATAAAATGAACTGCTAGCTAAATAAACCTTGAGGGGCTGATAGATGAACACTAAAACTTTTTATTTGGCTGCATTCGCGACTGGAAAAAAACATCATATATATTTGATGTTATTGAGATAATCGAGCCTGAAATCACGCTGACACATCTGAATATGTTACTCTCCAGATGACCACCAGACCAAAAATCCATCTTATTTCATGTGACTCTGTGTTCAGTCCAGCAAAAAATCATCATTTTCTTAAAAAACACTTTCCCTTGACTATACAATTCTATATTAAGGCTTTCAGAAGTCGACTATAGATGTCGATTTCTCAAGCCCTAATACCTTTCTTCAACCTATATAAAATATTGTTATTTTGTCAAAAAATTATTTTCTTACTCAAAAAATCAAGTATCGAATTGTCCGTTATCAGTTTCCCGGTAATGTAAGCCTCTGATAACGGTAACTTCGCAGCCCTAGTTGAAAATAACTGCTCTGAATCCTTGCAAGTGTATGTGTACACGTGACTCAACACATGCTTGCAAACATACAAGCTTACAAACTCTTTTTATTTCACACGACCCTCTCTTTAGTCGAGAGAGCCTTGATATCTATCTATCGGCGAAATTTCGGCTTGAAACTCGATCGTTAGATCTTAATCGTATAAAGAAATATCCTCTCTGATATGCAATGATGTTGGTAGTATCCGTGCGTCACAACACGTTTGACGATAGGGACAAGATTGAACGTTTAATAAATTTAGTATTGTTGGACAGCGCATCGATGCTACTAACAGAGCATGTCTCTCAGCTTTTGAAAACGGGACACTATTTTTATCTCATAATAAGACAGTGGAATTTCGTGATGCGCGGACACTCGAAATGAGGAGATTGGCCACATCATGAAAATAGACGAAAGGATGTTATAGTGATTATCTGAAAGAGTAAACTAAGCTCTACTAAAGTCTGTAGAAAGTAGTTTTTAATTTGCTTGATTCGAAGGTCAAAATGAGCCCAAAATATTTGTATTGATGTTTCGTTCTTGTATGGCTGCAGACCTGAATAGGTTTCGACTTTAACTTCAGTTCTGATAAACTGATCTAAAATGACAAAGAGTGACTCTCAACATTATCGAAGGCGCTCTTCAATGTAGCATGGTCAGATTTCTTCGATTCGAAAATCGAATTTCCCCAAGGATGGATATAATTACGTGCTCAGACCGAGTATTACGACCGTCGTATACAACATCGATTACCATCGTATTCCACATAAGCTTTTCTCCCCTCTTCCACTCTCCAAAAATAGAAAAATTAATCTTTGGCGTGCCCAATCTGTCTGAAGCCCCCAATACTTTTTTTTCTCATGCAGCTTCAATGATATATCATCGTATTGTATCGATATATTATCAAAGTTGCATTAAAAAAAGAAGAATTTGGATCTCCAGCCAAATTGGACATTCCTGTTTAATTAAATTCATACTTACTTATTTCATTTATCTTTTTTAATAATCTAAAAAATAAAAAATAAATTTATTTAATCTAAAAAATAAAAACTAAAGAGTATTTAATCTAACAATAAAAAATAAAATTTATTCAAATAAAAGATACTTACTGTTTGATATATCGTTTTGAAAAATGTAGAAATTTAAAAAAAAATTACTTAGTTAAATAAATACTTACTGTTCATGTTGCTGTTGATATAAATTTTAAAAAAAAAGAATAATAGATTGTTTAGTTTAAAATAATATTCACTGTTCGTTTGCGATCGAAAGGGACCGCGCAGAAGAAAATTGTTTCTTATAAAAAAGCATATGCACTGTTCATCGTGCAGTTGTAACTGATATAATTGTTCAAAAACATTTTTTTTATAGAAGGAAAGTTCCGTAGGGTTGTAGACGACGATTATACGTTCGTATACGAATACCGTTTACGACTATCGTATAGCGTCGTATTGAATCGTATACGATTGACGTATAGAGACATCGTATATGACCATCGTAATCCGTCGTATCTTGCTATATAAGGTCGTTTACCATCATGCTTTTTCAACCTGGATGGCTGTGCTGATATAGATCATCTTCACAAATATCAATTCAATTATCACCATCATGTACTTTAATTTATCACCTACTATAATAAAATTCTGTTCTCGAAAGAGTTTGATCAATTGACGAAAACACAAAGCGGCCTATTATCACTTAATAACTTTCTATCTACAAATACAGATCGTAATATCGCATTCGTCCATGCTAGACAAGCGATAGAAAGAAACCTGTGATTCAGTTGGTATTGTATTCGTAATATCCATTAATTCGAAGTGTCAGTGTGGGCATAGGTGTAGGTAGTAAGAGCAACTACAGCCATCTACATCGACTCCCTTAAATATCCTGAAAAGAAGACTCGAACTAATAGACTTATTGATGAGACATTTGCATCTATCGCTTTTATTTTTTACTTTTCTGTTTATCAATGAATAAAAAAATACTTTCGTTTCACATTGTACAATCCTTCGATTCGAATTTACTTTTTTTCGGAAACCTTTCTTTTAAAAAGCGTTGAAATTCCTTATGAATTCTTCCCTGATTCGTATAATTTGCACTTGTACGATCGTTAATGCTCAAAAATTTTGGCATCTGTGATCGCCGACGAAGTTCATCAAAAAATTGCTTCGCTTCTGTAAAATTATTTTTAAGTACTTGATTACAAAAATCTTCTCCATCAGAGTGACAAGCACTTTTCATTCGTCGTTGTTCGACACACACGTTTGATTGTTCAATTAAATATCGAGAAATGAAATAAATTGGATGAACATCATTCATGTCACGAAATCGGTGCGATGATTGAGCACGATGAATATTGGTGAATTTCGAGAGCCAAACTTCTTTGGCAATCGATTTTCTGATTGGATGTGGAGCATGTGGAAGAAAGTGCCGATCGCTCGCATTTAAATTTGTACTAGGCACTAGATTGTCGAGTAGAAAATTTGTATTCAGCATTGCTTTCTTATGAATATTCAATGCAATATTAGTATTTGATGTTAAACGATCATCACCGTAAATAATTGGACATCTTCGATCGACGAAAAAATCTTTGATCGAAACTGCACGTCCAAGTATATAATCATCATTAAAATAAAGATAAAATTCTTTCAAATGTGGTATTTTGTGAAGATTAGCTTCGATAGCATGAGAATTAAATGTTGGAAGATATCTATGATCTATAATATCTTTAGTTGAGATCACACGAAGTTGTGATTGTGATTTTGAAATATTTAACCAATTAGGTATCTGGTCAGTTACAACATAGATGTGTCCATGAAATGAAGGCATAAATTTTTCAATACTTCTTAATGAAAAACATAACTCATTGTTGTCTTTCGATAAACTCGATGAAATACTGTGACGTTTCTGAAGACGATCACTGCCCAAAAGTGGTTGGTAGATGGAAAACCAATATTCTTTCTCCCGTTTATACTCTTCATTACTGCCGTTGACATAAGTATAAACAATATCGAAAAGAAAATTATCGTATCTCATCAACGATGACGAAGATGAAGAACCTGGTCTCAATAGCCAATTGGTGGTGTTTTGAAGGATGACAATAATAGAGAGAACAGTGATTAAAAGAATTTTGCAGTTGTTATCAAATAGCTAGAAATAAAACGAAAGTTAAATTTGATTATAATTTCTCTTTTCTTTGTTTTATTCGAAGGATCTACACAACGAATGTACTATCTTCACGTTGACAAAATTTAAAGAGCAGATCTATCGACAAAAGTGACTTTATGACAATAATCTTTTTATATTTTCAGCAATACCAGTTCATGAAATATTACAGTTTCTGGAACAAAAGAAAAGCTGATGATCTCAAGAAAAAGTGTAAATAAGCAGGATCGTTTTGTATTTGAGACTTTTATCAACATTTTGAATAAATTCTCGAAAGAAAATGTAACTTCTTGTACAGTATGTTTTTATTTTAGTAGAATTGCTTTCGAATATAATTATACATATCATGAAAGATGTTTCGCTATCGATTCGATCGTTTTAAAAAAAAAACTCGATTGTTTTCTTTTGAATATTCACTTCTTCATATTTCAACAGCAGCATCAAAACATGGTGTCATACTTTAATGTGTTTATAAGAGAAATTTCCGATCCTCTTTTGAAGTATAAGGTCTACTATTGCAGAAAATAGAATGTGCTTTAAAGTGATGGTTTTAGTACCAAAATGACTTGGATATTTCCCTTTAAGAAAACACTTCAAGAAAAATAATTGATAACAATAAGTGAGGAGTCAGCCATTTACTCAACGAAATATTTTACTTACCATTGTTTCTTGACCTAAAATACTATTTAACACTATTGTGATGGAAGCATGTTCATATTTTTTCCAAACGCTAATTCTTTGAAGAACATCAATTTGTGCCTGTCAATAGAATGCATTCTTTCAGACTTAGAAAAGATTAGAACATTAGTGATCAAAGAGGAAAGTGTAAAGATCGGCATCTCCATGGCAACTGGCTCTAGTAGTGCTACTATCTCTGGAAGAAATAGTAGATTATGGTGCTACCGAGACTAGTTGCCATGAAGATGCAGATCTCTAGAAAAGTGACCAACTGTTCAATTGCCTCCAGGTCGAAACATTATAGATTTTCATAATAGAGTCTCTAGCTTTCGATAATAAACAATAGAAGGGACGTTTGTTTACGAAGTACAAATACTAGAAAAATGATTTTAAAATCCGAAGTCTAGTAAGGATAAAAAAAGTTTTTTTTTTTATAGACGCATAGAACTCTTCGAAAATTGTGTATAAAAATATTGTTCACGTTAAATTCATTTTTAAAAAGTTCCTATCGTCAATATTACGTTTCAAGACGCACGGGTTTCAATCTATTAGTTCTTACATTCGAAACCATACTTACAACTGTCTGATAATTTACAGAAATTGTGTTTCGGAAAATTTTCTGAGTTCTTTTGCTTAAATACAGGAGAAAAACTTTTCAAACGTACAATTTTTTGATTTTTAACCATTTTTTGTAGAATTCGACCTCTAAAAGCAGTGTCCTTTATTCCTGTTGTGCTAAGAACCAGATGGATTGTTATACGAACTACAGCGTTTTGGTTCGAGAGCAATTGAAGAGTTGATAAACATTCATCTTAAAAAACTTGAGCTTACACTTACTTGTTCTTTGAAAGCAGTTGCGGCTGGTCCAAATTGTTTGATATTGTATATTGCTAGGAAATTATACTCGATTTACTTTAACAAACCAGTCTCTTATATAGTGTTTAGAAAACGAAACCCGATACGTACTGTCTTGATTTTACGTTTCATTTCATTTCGAGTATGTCATACTTATTTATTCAGTCCCTTTACAAATACGTCTTATTTATTTAGTTCTCTCTGAAGCGATTTCTATTTAATCAGTTCTACCGAGCTGTATGTAAAACATATGCAATTTTCATGAATCACTATTCTAATATAAATTCATTTTTGAGTGTTATTTGAGAAAGAAGAACTAAACACCTACTCTTGTTCTGAGATCTGTCTTTGAGTTAATAACGATTTATACACAGAGCAAAAAAATTATTCACGTGAATAATGTCGAAAAAGAAAAATGTCGAAGGTAGAATGTCGAAAGAAAAATATCGAAAATAAAAATGTCGCGAGTACAATGTCGAAAAAATGTTCTACTGCTTGAAGTTATGAAAGTTCGACATCGGAACGAAAGATTGATCGATGTTTTCGCGCACGACACTTCCACACAATACTTGCTCGCAAAGACCTCATTTTCATTCTCGCCCTCATTTTCGATCTCACCCTCATTTTTGCTTTTATGGTCACTACTGCGTGGGAGTATCGCACAA